ACGAGCACTGCCGGTTGTAGCAGTGCCATCTTAAAGCTTTTTTTTAATTTTGTTCATGTATACGTTTGCCAAAAGTGGTGAGAGTGGTGATCTTATGGGAAGTCCGAATAATTGTTCATAAAAGTTACCGTTGATTGTAAAATAGGTTATCCTTATTGTCAAGTTGATTACTCTTGTTAACGACTCCCTACCGATCCGTTGTGATTCCAGGTTATCCTCCTAGTCTAAGCGGTTTCGGCAGAACGTTTGTCGAGGGATTGGCTTCACTTGTCTCTTTGACGAGTTCGTATCTTGGTGCGGAGAATGGCAAAGCTCACTGATGATGCCGACTACGATGCCGGCGAAACGTTTGAGAATGTACCAAGTCCACTGCCAGATGTTGGGAATCATGACAACTACTATGGCAGACGACTTCGGACTAGGTGCGTTCTACGTAGTCTCCCTGGCAACAAGACTAGGTTGCGACAACGAGGTCAACCCACTTCACATTTATGTTTCGAATAATTTAATAAAATTTCTTTTTAAAAAGTTATGGCAATTTAATTAAACAAATGCATAATGTGAAATATTTTCTCTTGAAGTTAACACCGAAACCAGAATAATATCTACAATTTGACCTTAATCCACATGTAGCAACCAGCTTGGATTGTTGAAAAGTCTTTCGACTTTTGATAGCGTTGTATTTGCTCAACAGCCTGACTCAGGTCAAGCATAAACAGAAGGTGATGGTGCCTTGAAGGCCCGAAACCAAAAGATCTGTTTAAATTCTCTCCTGTTGTTGCAGAATCTGTGCCAATAAAATTGATAACAGGCAGGTGTATATTCCAGGTGCACTCAAGTCCAACATGAGAAACTGAAACCTGTCCAGAAGAGTAAGGTGGCTGCGTCCTTGGATAGGCGGGAAGGTCGAGGTTTCCATGCATTAGTCCAGTCGTATTGATGTTGATAACAGCTCCACAGCGGTCTGCGTAATAATATGTAGGCCAAGGAAGCCAAAAAGAGGAATAATATAAATTAATTTGATGCCAAGGTGAGGAATTCATTTTAGTCAGGTTCATTTGATCAGATAAGATAGATAAAATATGTTCATAATTACAATTGCCAGCTAAGACTTTCAAAATTTTTAATGACAAAAATAGATAAAGTGGATATTTTCAGTATCAATTTTAATAC